CGAGGACAGCATGACCATCTTGTCGACGACAAGAAATAGACAGACTTATTGATTTTGTCGTAATTGAAATGAGTCTCTCTCTCTCTCTCTCTCTCTCTCTCTCTCTCTCTCTCTCTCTCTCTCTCACAAACTTCAAATTTATTCCTTCTACAATATGTAATTGTTTTAAAAAAAACAGTCCTCACGGTGGTGCGCATGCATTTTCGATCCCCATTGTGGTTTACAGAAGCGCGGAACAATGTGAACGGTGTCTACGATGGTGTCGGTCGAAACGACGCTGCTGTGCTGATGTCCATTCGCATTCTCCCATTTCAATTCCTTGCAACCTGTCACGTGTTCCCGTTCACTGTCAACCTCTTTGTACCACTGCACAAAAGCGCACTTGTGTTCCACATTGCCGCCGTCCGTGGGTGCATCGACGATGAAAAACATGGCCACTGATGCGAACCACGTACATTCGTTGGCTGCTCTTATTGCGACGTCGCTGTGCACTGGTCTCCCGTGGAACCGCGACAATGCTCGTGCAGTTTGAACAAGTGTGCCCCTGTTTGTTCCGTCCTGCGTGCAAGCGATGGCGAGATGTGTTCGCGTGTGTATAGCGAGATCATCGGTAGGAGGTTGACAACCATTCTCCGCCATGTACGCCGTAATCGCTGCTCAAAAATTGGTTCTGAAAGGGAGCTCTTCGAGTATCTGACACGCACGACTGTCAACGCCTTCCACCTCGCGTATCTGGTCTTGATCGATGTTGAACCAGCGCAGTTGAAGGATTGACGTGTCGCGTAGTGCCTGGTGTTCAACCCCGTTGCCATACAGTCCGTCACAGAAGACCTATTCTCAATGGCCCTTTTCCTTCTTTTCCTTACAATTCCGGTCTCCTCCTGCAACGCCAGCGACCGGCGCACGTGGTTGACCATCTGCGTTGACGCTTTCCTTTTGTTCGATGACAAGTACGGTTGTTTGCAGAATCTCTTGTGGTGATGCTCCCAAACGTCTGCAGCGAATGTGTCAGCCACACCAGATCGCTCGATACTCGCTCTCATGTGCATAAGATCATGCAACTTCGGGAGTTTCCAATTCGATGGTTGGTATCTTCCCAATTTCGCTTTGATAGTCGTTACGAAGTCCGTCATCAACGCGTCGCATTCGTCGAGGGAAGCTTAAGTGTGTGCTGTGCGCCGAAACAAACGTACGTACATTTGCATCAGCTTGACGAAACAGGCGGTAATGCCCTTGCCTGTCGAGCGCGGGATTATATTAAGAATGAGGAACATGCACACTGTCATCACAGACCGGTTCTGCTTCGCCTCGAAGCGTCCCTCTCTAGAAAAAAAATCGCTGCATGTGGCCACGGGCAGCACAAGTTGGGGATATGTTCGCGTACATCTCTCACTAACGCATTGCAATCTCGCATCGAGTTCCTTCAGGATCTCAGTTTGCGGTGTGTGCGGCAACTTCTCAAAGGTTGCCGCTCTGAATGCGTCGACCATGTGCAGGAATATGCCGTGTTCGATCATGTGCATACGGTCTGGTTGCAATGCGAGGTGGTAGTCTAGCTGAGGATCATCGCCGCTCGGCCCCCTATAGAACCCCCAAAGGCCGTTCTGTTCAACATGCCTATGCATGTCCAACTCTGTCATTCGCCCTCCCGCTTCGCGGCGCACGTCATCGTCGTCCGCCGTGAACAGGGCTTCTGCGAGTTGGGTTTCCAGCGTCTGCGATCTCCTGCAGTCCGTGAAATCGGCCACAACATCGAGGTCCGTTTTCGACACGGTGCATGTGGGGCATACACCAAACTTCACATTCGCCAGCGCACATCATTCTGGATAGTCCCGTATATAGTTGAGAAGGAAAGGGTGGACAGTCACGTCCCCGAATCGCGTCGATGGTATCGTGATGCTATCGTGCGACGCCTTCTTTGCAGCTTGCAAGACCATCGAAAGGGCCTTGTGGAAGATGACGGTCTTTCGCTTCCTAAATGCGTTGGACTGAAGACCCCATCCTTTGTCACGGGGTCGATGATGAAGCACGGGGAGATAGGCCAGCAGAGTGGCTTCCGACGCGTGGTCGGCTAGCGACATCATAAGAGGGTATGCGGTCTATTTCTGACGACCGTCTGTGTGTGTCTTGTCGGAGTAGAGTGAGAGAGGGATCACATATCGTGGATTTCCATTCCCGTCGACACCTTTGTGCGCTCGAATGGTTGACTGCGTGTGATAGCTTAGCGCCCCACTGCGCGGACCAGACACACTGTGGTCGTCCGACGGCGGGGACACTTCAAGGGAATGAACCGTCTCGCATTTCTGCAACGCGACCTGCATTATCGACAAGAATGCAGTTCGCCAATCGCGGTGCCACAAGATGGCGTGCGCTCCTTCAGACCAGTCGTCACTACGCAGGTCCGACTCCTTCCACCCGGCGGCCTTTGCGAGACTGCCCGCCCATGCGAAGCACTCTCGACTGTTGCGGTACGCAATGTCCGCCGCGCTGAATCTCGGGTCTTTGAGAAGTGACAAGAGAGCATCAACGTCGCAATGCGACATACCGACGCCACCATGTGCGGACAAAATAAGCGCTGCTAGCCTGCGCGAGCTGTCAAAAGGCTCGACGGGTTGCGCTTCATTCTCTGCGTTGTCACCCGCTGCCCCGTTCGCGTTGTCCTCTGCCCCTGCGTCGTCGTTGTCATCAGCTGCGAGATTCGCTGCGCCCATGTCGGATGGCCCCGGGTCGTGGGCAGCATTGTTCTCCTGCCTTTGCGCCCCCTCTTCCACCACGGCCGGGCATGCCCTCGCACGATGCGAGTTTAAAGTCCGTAAGGACATGAAAGGTCTGCCGCAGTCGCACACCAGTGGACCGCTGTCCATTTCCTGTGCACGCAGTGCATTCGAAACACAAAGACAGCGAAGCGGACAGTGCTTCGTTAGCATTTTCCACATATGGTCGGGGCATGTGCACTACGTAATGTTGACCATGTTTTCTTATGCAGTGTGAGTCCTGCACGTTGTGGAAAAAGCGTCTAAGCATGTTTTTTCCACCTATCCATCGTGATCAG